TATTGTGTGAGTTTTTGTTAAGCATTGAAATTAAAGGCTACTGTCTAGCTAAGCGATTATACATAAATAAATGTATACGCATACACATTTCTGTATCTACAATTAACTAATTAATTAATTTTTAATTAACCGTGGTTGAACACCAATGTTTTATTTATGTATGGCACTCTAATAAAATTGAATGAAACTCAATGTTTTATTTGAATATAATACTTTCATAATATTGTGTGAACAATGTTTCATATAATATGGCACTTTCATAAAATTGTATAAACCTCCTTAGTTGCCGGCTCGACTTTTAATTGTGATTGGATATCAATAATCTATTTAAAAATGACACTCTCTTTGTAATTATTTTCACAGACTTGTATTATTAATTTTCTGTTTTTCGAGGTGGCCTTTACAATACTTTTATGTCTTATCTGGTTTCAGTAAATCTAGATTTTAATTTTCTTTCTTTCGTATTTGTGATTTGTAGATTTTGAATAAATAAAAATCAATCAATTAAATCAATATGTTAAATATATTTTATTATTATTATTAAAATTTATATAGCGCCAATCATAATTGAAAATTTTCATTAGCACTCCGTGCTCATAAAACAAAATTATTCATAACAATGATTTCATTTTAACAAGTATGCCTTTGGGCGTCTTTTAAATTACAAGAGCGTTAATTTCGCTTGATGAAGTCCCTCTGGTAGTCTATTCTAAAAATTCGGCCCTGGAACGGCAAAATCTCTATTACCAGTTTTCAAATTTGTTTCCGGTACATTTAATTTATTTGAACTGGAAGACTTCAACTGCCCATGAGTTCCCAGGGAGGAAATTTTTATGCATTTATCCGACATTTTATGCATTTATACCTATCAGCCAGACCATTTAGGCATTTAAACACCATGACCCCAAATTTTAACCGGATTTTTTGCTTTATAGGCAGCCAATGAAGCATGGTCAAATCTTAAACCCCCAACAATAATCTTCGCAGCTTTATTCTCTGCTACATACAACTTCGAAATCGATTTATCCGATCTTCTGTTTAAGAGACAGTTGCAATAGTCCAATCTAGTGTTGACAAATGCGTGCATCAGTGACGTGACAGCATCTTAATAATAATAATAATGTCATTTGTGCAGCGCCTTTGCATAGCGACAGAGGCGCCCGGATAAACAAACGTCAGCACAGCCACCAAAAGCCTGTTCAAGCAGATGCTTTTTGAATCGCTTCTTAAACATATCTATGGATGATTGTTGTCGGATGATGAGTGGCAAACTGTTCCTTATTGATGGTGAGCAATCTGAGAAGCCTTTATTGACGAGAGTTGATTTATTGACTGGTTGAAGCAGTTGCGGAAGTTCCGCACTTAGTTTTTAAGTGCGGAAGAATTTGGGCAATTTTGAAAGTGGTATGAAAAACACCTTTACTAAAAAGAAAAATTAGAAGGTTTAGAGTCACAGGAGCCAAAAGCGAAAAACATTTTTTGAGAAGAATAGTAGGCAAAATGTCGAGTGGAAACGTTTTATTAGCAAGAAATGAGTAGAGCTTTAATACCTCTAAAACCGAAACAGCAGTAGAAACGTTGAATATATTTGCTGAATATGGTCTGTGTTTGAAAGATGTTGTGTTATTTGTTTCAATATTGTCTTTGATTGACTGATGTATGTTATTAATTATTGATATGAAATGATTTACGAAAGAGTTGACAAGGATTTGGCACTCATCATCAGAACAGTGTTATGGCGGACGAGAAAGAGGGAGGTTGCTGAACGATCGCCAGAGATTACAAAAATTACTCTTAAAGTGAAGCCGTCTTTAATGGAGTCAATCTTTTTAACG